CATCCCCATCCACCCCCCCCATCCCCAACCCCCCCCATCATCCCCCCCCCCCCCATCCCAACCCCCCATCATCCCCATCCCCCACATCCACCCCCACCCCCCCTCCCCCATCCATCCCCCTCCCCCCTCCCACCGTGTTAAGCACAAGTCGGTTTGCAAGCGATGGGCTCTTCTCTTGCGCCCTCCCTCCCCGACTGCTGATACAGACTGTGTACAGACTGTGACTGGAGAAGCTTTGCTCTTCCTCCCGCATCTCGAGTGGAAGTGGCGGGGGGTTTAATCTACACCTGATTGAAATGTATTATTTCTCCCCATTTTCTGCCCCATCCCCACCAGCACAGGCTATGAATTGTGCAGGAGGTTGTGATGCAGACACAGATCCCCCGAGAAAGTAACACAGCGCTGAGCTGGTGTTCCAGGAGAGGAGAGAGCACATCCACTACTCTCCCCCCCCCCCCCCCTCCACTACCCTCTCCCCTCCACTATCCTCTCCCCCCCCTCCACTGCCCTCTCCCCCCCCCTCCACTGCCCTCTCCCCCCCCTCCACTGCCCTCTCCCCCCCCTCCACTACTCTCTCCCCCCCCTCCACTACCCTCTCCCCCCCTCCACTGCCCTCCCCCCTCCACTGCCCTCTCCCCCCCCCCCCTCCACTGCCCCCCCCTCCACTGCCCTCTCCCCCCCTCCACTGCCCTCTCCCCCCCTCCACTGCCCTCTCCCCCCCCTCCACTGCCCTCTCCCCCCCTCCACTACCTCTCCCCCCCCCTCCACTGCCCTCTCCCCCCCCTCCACTGCCCTCTCCCCCCTCCTCCCCCCTCCACTGCCTCTCCCCCCCCTCCACTACCCTCTCCCCCCCCCCCCCCCCCCTCCACTACCCTCTCCCCCCCCCTCCACTGCCCTCCCCCCCCTCCACTGCCCTCTTCCCCCCCCCTCCACTGCCCTCTTCCCCCCCCCCCCCCCCCCCCCTCCACCGCCCTCTTCCCCCCCCCTCCACTGCCCTCTTCCCTCCCTCCACCGCCCTCTTCCCCCCCTCCACCGCCCTCTCCCCCCCTCCACTACCCTCTCCCCCCCTCCACTGCCCTCTTCCCCCTCCACCACTGCCCTCTTCCCCTCTCCACTGCCCTCTTCCCCCCCACCACCCTCTCCCCCCTCCACTATCCTCATTCCCCTCCACTACCCTCTTCCCCCCCTCCACCGCCCTCTCCCCCCTCCACCGCCCTCTTCCCCCCTCCACCGCCCTCTCCCCCCCTCCACCCCCCCTCATTAGCTGTGTTTTGCACGAATCGATCTCTTTGCAACGCTTTATTAAATGGGTTACCCCCCCCCCCACACCCCCAAAAAACACCCCACAACCATTTCATTTCACGCCGACTGATCGATCCAGCGTTTGGGAAGCATTTCAGGACGAATCCAATATGAATCAGCCTCTCCAGGCTGTCTCTCTCCCTCTCACCATCTGCAGACTCTTAAAAGCAAAAGCTACACCACTCTTTCATACACCACCAGGTCTGTGGCAACGTTGGACATTGTCCTCTCCAGCTATTTCACTACCTATATATTTTTTCTTGGTGGGGAGGGGGACGAGAGGGAGAGTCAGCACCAAATGCAAAAGTCGGATATGAAGGTATGCATTAATACTTTCACTGCATTAGTTATTACGTGCGCCCCGAAAGCTACGGGTCGTGAGTTTGCAGTACACAAAGTGCGGGAAAATCAAACTGACTGTGGAATGAGGGATCATAGACATTGCAAAGCTCTTTCCTTCTTTACTGTGAACTAAGGCGAGACTTTCAATGGAGAGGGTTTCTTTGCACATGAGCTGAGGGCCACTGTTTCACTGAATCAAAACGTGACTGCTCCACTTTATGCTATTACTCATTCCCAGCATGGAGGGGGGGGGGGGGGGGGAGTGGTTTAATGATGGACGAGTGCTTTAGCCAGAACCCCCCCCTCCCAGAATAAGCACACACAGCAGTCTGAGTGGGAGTGGGAGAGAGAGAGAGTCTTTCAAACACACAGAGCAAAAGTGAGCAATCGGCTCTCACTATCCGATTGAAATAAGGGGGAGAAGTTGCCTTTGCACTCTCTCCTACTTCCCGCCTCATATACAGACTGCAACTCCCTCCCTCGTAACAATGTTAAACCAATTCTTACTGGAATTACGTATGCTTCAAGAAAAAACGCCTCTCTCTCACTCACTCACTCACTCGCCCAGGAATCAGTGCTCAGCCCAACAGCAGCACAAAGACACCAGGAGCACAGTCAGAGCTGCTGATCCCGGTGTTGTGTGACCAGCGACAGCATTTCCGAGTTCAATCCCACATCCAGATCTCTCCTACCCTCATCCTACCCTGTGCTCACACTGACCACAGCCTGAAATCACTGTGTCCACACTGACCACAGCCTGAAATCACTGTGTCCACACTGACCACAGCCTGAAATCACTCTGTGTTCACACTGACCACAGCCTGAAATCACTGTGTGTTCACACTGACCACAGCCTGAAATCACTGTATCCACACTGACCCCAGTCTGAAATCACTGTGTGTTCACACTGACCACAGCCTGAAATCACTGTGTGTTCACACTGACCCCAGTCTGAAATCACTCTGTGTCCACACTGACCCCAGTCTGAAATCACTCTGTGTTCACACTGACCCCAGTCTGAAATCACTGTATCCACACTGACCACAGCCTGAAATCACTGTATCCACACTGACCACAGTCTGAAATCACTGTGTGTTCACACTGACCCCAGTCTGAAATCACTGTGTGTCCACACTGACCCCAGTCTGAAATCACTGTGTGTTCACACTGACCACAGCCTGAAATCACTGTGTAGTCTTAACCCAAGATAGTTGCCACCGTTCACACTCTCTCAGTCAGCCTCACCCGAAAACGATCTCAGGGTATCTGCTATCCCCGGGGGGGGGGGGGGGGGGGGGGGGGACAGACTGATTGTAAGTGAGGCTGCCTTTGAGATACCGTAGCAGTACAACCATTGCTAACTTAGTCCACAGAAGAACGGAAACGTGTAAGTGGAGCAGGTCGATCAAGGCGGAGTGCTGAGGAGCTATACACACTACAGCAAAGCATCTGATCCTCACTATCCTCAAGGACGAGCGTGGATTTAAGCTGCTCGTGTTTCCCAAATCTTCAGCCTTCGATTCCCGATCGTGCACCCAGCAGTTGCAGCTCTTGGTGGGCACCTTACTCTCCTCTTCTCCACCCAGGGTTAACCTCACCGCTGCCGGTCCATGCTGAGACTCGGATCAATAAGGAACTCTTCCCCATCCAGCCACACGGGTTTTTTTTTATTAAGGTTGGTGCTTAACGTTTCTTGAGTCTCAAGTGTTTTATGAAAATATCACGTTAAAGCGAGGAGCTTATTTTTTTTCCAAATCCCTTCACCAAAACTACCAGTGAGTGGATCAGCGGTGATGCAAGAGGTGAGGAGGTGGGTATTGGCTGCCACGATTTCTGTTCCATTTAGTGATAATGCAAGACAGTAAATGCTGTCGCTTTGCACAGTGCACAAGTGCACAGTGTGTGGTGTTGAGAGTGATCTCAGGGTAACTTCGCCTTAACTAAAGACGGCAGGTAGAGAGTTTGTGCCTGTGGTTTGCTTTTTGTTGCGGACTTTCAGGTGAAACACGTTGCTGGGGGTTGTGAGGGTGAAACCTGGAGGAGCAGTGCTATAATGGTGCACAGTGCCACCCTACTCACAGCTCACACACAGCCACCACTGACCTCAAGTCAGCACCCAACATGTTTAAACCGATCAGTCTGTGTTATTGGTTAGTAATAGGTGGAGCGGGTTTAAGATGCTCTTAGTTTTTTTTTCACTTCCAGACAATTTGTCAAAGATGCCTCATTAGCATTCTGTTAAAAAAGGATTTTTTTAAAAATTTAATTTAATTTAACGGTGCAAAAAAAAAACCGACTCGTTATTGCGATAGAAATTCCTTTTTAAGATGATTTTCCTTCAGTGCAACTCTGGGTGTTCGTTTTCCACTAACACGTTCGACACTCCCTTCAGCGAGTTAACCCTTTCGGGGCGAAAACGCAGGTCTTGAGATACGGTTAGATCTGAGAAATAAGTTGGTTAATAGTGTTTCCTGCTCCCAGCGCCTGCTCCTACCCGGTCTTTTACGAGTGAACATAATAATGAGGAAGAAACAAAAGAAACTCACACACACACACAATGTTCATTAAATCTGCCCCCCCCCCCACCCCAAAATGTCCAGGGAAAGCCATGCATTCAGAAACAATAACTGATGTTATGTTGTGTTCTACCTGGACTTCACTGGTTACTTCTGAGCAAACACCATTTGTAAAGCCTCACCAATTGCCTATAAATAGTCTCTTAATAGCCGTATAGTCTCCAATTTAAACAACGCATCTTTTCAGGAGATAAAGCTCCCAGATGCATTTCATTTCCGAGAGATCAGATGTGATCAAAGGGATGGTTTTTTGTGAAAAGACGTGGCATTGGTGGTGTTTTTTTTTAAAAAAATGAGCAGGCTTTTATCTGGTGAGGCGATGTCCTTTTAAAGGGTTAAAGGTGGTCGTGAGAGCCTTTTCTTCAATTGGCTCTTTGTAATTCATCAGAGATTCAAATGTCTTTTTTTTTCTTCTCTCTCTTTTTTTGGGGCGATCCAACCCCAAAGCCTCGAGGGCTCCTCCTCTAAACAGTGCTGACGGTGTAATGATAGGTGTCAAATCCCGCATTTGAACTTGCAGCGATTTAGGGTTTTGCTTCTTTCCCCCCCACCCCCTCCCTCCCTCCTCCCTCCTCCCTCTCTCTCTCTCTCCGGCTGAGAGCAGGTACCACTTGCCCAGGATCAGAGCCTCTGTACCGGCAGCGAGTCCTGAGAGAGCCACCGGGGAAGTGCACAGCTCCCACTTCGCATCCCCTTCATCCAAGACCAGCAACTTCCCATCTGCTAAGACTTCAGTGAGACCCAGAAGAGGGATTTTTTTTTTTTTTTTTTTTTGGTGGGAGGGGGTGCACCAGGAACTATAACGTACCCTTTGAAGGATTTCGCTTGTGTATTCTGGTCACAACGAGGTAACAAAAAAAGTTTTTTTCTTTTTTTGGCAAGAATTGAGAGTTATTATTTTCTGATTAAAAAACGTATATTTTTTGTTCAACTGGTGTGATCTGTACCTAATATATTAACAGGTGAGATTGATGTAAAAATCATTGCAAAGGTTGTGGGTGTTTTTTTTTTGTGTTTGTGAAAAAAATTGTCCCAAAGAGATATATTTGAATAAGAGGGAGGGAGGGAGGGTTGAAGGAATGAAATGGTGTATATCAGACAAGCACACGAGGAAAAGGGGTAAAACCTTAGAACAGAACTGGCGAAGGGAAGGAAGAGATGGCACAAGGATAGAGAGGAAAATACTTCTAACATAAAAGTTAAGAGAACGAGTGAGGAAAGGGTTGAGTGGTGTGTGTGTGTTGTGTGTGTTGTGGGTGGTGGTGGGGGGGGGGTGGGTGGGGGGTGAGGGTTAGAGTTGGGGGTCGATTGGGGTTTAGAGTAGAGGGGTGCAATAGCACAGAAACTGTCTGTGAAAGGAGGGAATGTGAAATGTGAATGTGAAAATCGAAAGGTAGAGGAATGAAATCCTCTTTTAAAAAAAAACCGATGGATAAAAAAAGGCAAAAAGCTGATAAAAGTTTTATTAAAAAAGTTTTAAACGTCGCCCTGTGATTCAATCTGCGGTTTTGAGGTGTTGGGAAGGCGGGGACAGTGCCTGGAGAGCGCTCTGCTCTGCTCTCTGCTCTCTGCTCTGGGTCACTTGGGAAGAGTTGGGAATGCAAATGGGAAAGTGATGGATGCGGGGAGCAGGGGGTGGGGGTGGGGGTGGGGGTGTGGGGGGGGGTCTCTGTTGCAAACGGCTGCCCAGGGCCGGGACGGGCGATTTCACCCCCAAAAAACGAGAGCTTTCCATTTCCTGGTGCATTGCTTAAAACTGTGGCAACAGCTGAGAGAGCCACAGAGAACACAGCAGTGTTGGGGGCAACACACGCGCCTTTTTTCTCGGGTTTTAACACTGAAATCAGCGATCAAACCCGTGAATGGCGCGGGGTTTGGTCGGTCGGTGTCCCGACTCGCGACACAGATCGCCAAGTAAATGATGTGAATGCAAATGGGCTTTAAGCGAATCAATTTTGGGGCAATTCGCACAGCGGTTTTTTTTTTGGGGGGGGGGGGGGTGGGGTGGGGACGGGGAGGGGGGGGGGGGAGGGGGGGGGGGGGGACAAAAGGCTGGAGGGCGGATCCGGTTGGGTTTTTCACCCCTTACATTGCTGTCCCCTTCTCCCACATCATTACATCGCGATTACAGTGGGGGCACCACCGAGGGTTCGTGATCCACTCAATAAAACCCTATTCAGCAAATTATCTTACAGAGCCTTCCGGGTAAACTTTGAAGGCGAAATTAAACGGGATCAAAGTGTGTTGCGTCCCACGCCGATGCCCAACTGAAGATTACAGGTAGATGAACCCCCCCCCACCCCCACACCCCCCCACCCCCACCCCAAATCTCGGGTGTTGGGTCTGGGATTAGGTATTAATAATAATTAATAACAATCGCATGATTCGGAAATGTTGCATTGGACTCCAGATGTTGCTGTATTCAGGGTGTGAGGTGAGGGCTGCACTGGCTGAGATGCTTTGGGTCTGTGTGTGTGTGTGTGTGTGTGTATAACGTTTGATGGTCTTTGCTGTCACACACACACACACACAGCCCTGAGGAGAGCCACCGGCCACAGTGGGGGGTGCAATCCCCCCGTTGAAACGCCGATCAGCATTAAAAAGAGTGCGAGACGCTGGTGGTGTCCCTCGGATCAGTGAGGGTCCGACACCCCCCCCCCCAAAAAAAAAAACTTGCGTTTATTTGTCCCAACTTTGTAGACTGCAAATCTCTTGAGGGTCCCTCCAGCGAAGGTTTGCCCATCAGTGCCATTCACTGAGCCGGGGCTGGAGTGACATGAGTGCAGGGAGCTGTGGGGATGACTGACGGGATGATTGCCTTTTAATAACTAACTCTGCACAGGAGGCTGTCTATAGGAATTCTTGCTAAACGCTGTGTTTATAAGGGGGCGTGTGGCGCCCCCACATGGCCATTCTGTGGAACGCATCACTGCTCATTAAATTCCATTAAATCTCATTTCACTGCCCCCATCTGCAGAAATATACACGAGGGACTGAGATGTAAGGGCTGGTTTGCAGTTTTTAACACATAAAATTATATTGACATTTTCTTACACACGGGTTAGGAATCTGACCATGATCACCTATATATATATATATATATGCTGTCTTGCCACCTCACGTCTCACGTTTTGCTTTCACTGTACTTAAATAATTACAGCTTTTACCTTGTGAAATTGACTTTGGTCGCTTTAAGGTGGAAGATTTTAATCTTTAAATGCCAAGGATCGCCCAAAATGTTAACCACAAGACTGAATCCAAACATTTGATCCAGTGTGTGTTGTAATGTGTTGGGTGTAGTTTCCGCTGTTAGCCCAGATTGTAAACAGTTGCTTTTTATGCTGGTTTTGTTGTCGTTGCTGGGACTGGGTGGGGGAGGGAGGGGGTGCAAACTGAATGTCCCTATTATTTATTGCATATTATGTGTCTAATCCAACTGCATTTTTATTTGCCTAATCTAAAGATGCAGCAAAAAAACCCAATTGAATTAAGATGGTTTTCAACCGGAATTTTTAACTCTTTCTGAACCCCCCATTAACTTCCACGAAGTTCAGGCGGTGTTAAATGCCAACTCCCCCCCACCCCCACACCCCCACCCCAAGCCAACCTCCAATATACAAGCACTGACAGCAAATGTCCCAGGTACTTTCCTCCAAAAGAGTGGAGGAGAGCAAGGTTTTTTTTTCCTGAAGTGGCAGCTCTCCAGGCAATAAGCCACTTGCCAACTGCTAACATTTCAATCATGTGTCTCTTTCAGTTCTTTTTAAAATCCGATTGGCAACGCCAGACGCTTGAAGAGGTTAGCTGTGCAACCAAGGGATCATCCCAGAAGAAGGAAACCCAGACCAGGACAGGCGTGTAATCGCCTTGTCGGTAGGGACCGAGGAAGAAAGGAGTTCGGAATCCTAACATTGGTTTCGGATCTGGTTACAGGTAAGTGATTACAGATTTCACCACAACAAAACACAGCTGTCTGTCTTCCCTAGAGTATCTGTAACTCTTTCAGCTCAAAATAAATAAATAACATTGCTGTATCTCATTCGAAGATTGTTCTTTCATTAGCATTTATAATCCCATGTTGTAAATGTAGCTTGGACAAAGGTTGGAAGCTGTGCATGATGTGCCATACTTGCTGGTGGGATATGGTAAATAATAATAATAGACGTCTCAAAAGCGCTTCACAAAATATACTGTAAAGTGAATTGACTGTATATTTGTGGGCGAAATGTGGCAGCCAATTGCACACAGCAGTGTCCCACGAACAGTCGTGGATTGAAATGACCAATTTATTATTAATAGTGAGGCAGAATGTGTGGGTGGTACTAATGCTGAGTTTCTATAAGATGCTGTAGGGGAGGGGTGGAAAATCGCAAGGGTGGTACATATCAATGCTCAATTCAATCTGTTTTACCTGCTGCTCAGATGCCTTTCAGCCACTTTTTTTTTGAGGCGTCAGGAAAACGTGATAATTATTTTTGATCATGGGCACCCAAGGGGACTGAGAAAAACTTGAGGGTAGGGAGGGGAAAGATAACCAAAAGCATGGTCAAAAGAGGCATGTCTGGAGTTGTGCCTCGATAGAGGGGAGATGCATTTGATGCCAGTTGTATTTTTATTGAGTTAAGCTGTTATCCTGGGAACCAGCTTTCAAATTCATAAACTCTGCAGCAGGTAACTCCAATGGCATTTAGCAGTAGCTTTGGGCCCATCCATTGTATTGAAGTGTCAACCCTGTGGCTTGTGAATAGTTAAAAGAGTTGTCTTGATTGTAGTTGGTATTATACAACGTCCTTCACATAGTATAGTGTCTCAAAGTCCAATGATTATTATCATTGGTGATAATTACTTCCATCAGACTTGCTTGCTACCTTCACTCACGACTTCAGATAAAGAAAAGGGAAAAAATGTGGACTGAGAAATTGCAAGAAGAGAGAGAACAAAGAGGGAATGAAGCCCACATGTGGAGGAAAGGATCACTTATGAGATACATTCCATGTGATTTGTCCAGAAATGTCAAAATGGTGCCAGAATATGGAAGCAGTATTCAAACATTGGATGGATATGGGCTTTGCAAGGGAGTTGAGAGTTGTTGTGGGGTAAAATAATTGTTTGGCACAAAACAGGAAACCAATTTTATTGGCTGCTTTAGTGTTGGAGAAGATGGGAAGATTCCATTTGAGATCAGGGGTTATGGTGACTCAACAATAATAAGTGAAGACAGATTAAGCTTAGACAGAGCCATTGGAGGGATGAGGGATCAGATGTTGGTTAGATATGTGGGAGACATGAACAAAATGTAAAACATTGGAAGAAAGAAGTTCATCATTGGCCCATTAAAGGGGTTATATATTATTGTATTATTTATAGTATAACAGATGGGCTGGAGCATGTTATAAGGCAGTAAAGCATTCAGGTTCTTAGATTCTGCCATAAAATATACATTGTGACCCTAAAACTACTCAGCATTTTGTATGATATTTACAGTTGCAGTTCATATTGTAGTGAACTTTCAATGAAACGTTTTGGTTGTTGGAAACAAGAATTGTGGTAGAAAACAATATTTTTGCAGCAAAACCACATGACCAAACAGATGAGCAAGATAAGTTGGTGATATTGCATTGTCTGATTTGAATGGAAGTGCTGTTGTACAATATGATTTAAGATGCAGAGAGATTAGCAAGATTTATTTAATCACTGCATGTCATTGGCGAGCAACACATTCAGTACTTGCAATATTACTGGAGCGTTGAAGAATTATACAGAGAGAGAGAGATGAAGAGATGAAGACCCGGAAGTGCTGACTGGCAGCCATTTTATAATACAGCCCATTATAAAGCAGAGTCTAATTTTATTGACTCATGCAACTGTGCTTTGAAGAGGTACAGTTGTAAGTGCCTTCCTGTTATTAGAATTGTCCACTTCACCCTTCGTACATAGTGTTTTATATATTGTAAGACAGTTATTAAAACCTATTTCATTGCCAATCATATATTTTCTCTTATCATTCTATGACTACTGTAGTAATTTTAGTTGCTGATCATAGTATAATCTGAGGATACAAGGGTAGCAGATGATCTCAGTGCAGTGGATGATCCTAGCATCTTATACCTTCCCCTGGTGGTGATAAATTTGTCATATTTTCCACATTGTTCACATCCATTGAATTCAACAGTTGCCAATTCCATTTCCTCAAACTCTAGCAGAAAGCATAGATCTTAAGGCTTACTGCAATGAATTCAAGCCGCAAAAATCCCTGGCTAGTTTTTATAGTTACTCAGAGTTTCTGAATCACTGAAGATATTGTAATTTATAGCACACGTAGTCTGAGGACAGACTATTTCTCTGGAATTACTTCCTTATCCTTTCACGATGGCACGTGTTACACAAATGCATTATTTGATCTTGCTCTCTCTATGCTATTTTCTTTTCAGGTCAGTGTCTCAGGGTGAAATATGTTATTATATTATTGTATATTATATGTTATCACATGGAACATGTAACATCACATTTCTTTTATGACTTGGATTGTTTTCTCACTTTCTTTCTTTATACTTAGTATTTAATAGCTGTTTATCTTTCCTTCTCTGTCCTTAGCAGCGTACTGTAGTCGATCTGATGTTTCTCCCAGGTCGGCAACCTCAGCCTCAGAGGACCTGAGTCTTCAATATGTTTTCCACTGTGTCCTATTCCTGTGCTAAACATTACCCATTCTGTAAAGAAATAATTGGAACACCAACAATGCAATGTTGAATTGAACTGAATCATTTGCTATATTTTCCAGTGATCACAGCCAGAACAGCAGCAGTGACACCACAATTGGCCCAAGTGTCTTTCAGTCCCTAGGATAGGGAAGGAAAAAATAACAGCAGGTTTCTATGTTGGATTACTAGTCAGTGACCTTTGATGAAAATTTGTGCATGTATGGAAATTGGGCATCTGTTGTGATGCCCCTTTGTGTGCTATAAATCATATTATAAATTACAAATCGACTGGCAGCATTCACTGTCTCAGCTCACACACAAAGAATGGCCACTTGGGGTGAGGTAGCAGGTTATGGCTGGTACCTATAAACCAGCATGAGTCAATGTCAGAGGGGAGAAAGCTGGGAAGGAGGAAACAAGGTTCCGTTTTATCACATGGCTTATTTTTTGCTTGGTGACTGAGCAAATATTACACAGAACATTACAGCATAGAAAAAGGCTGTTCGACCTAGGTAGACCATGCTAGGAATACATCATCTTTACATGAAAGGCATTTTGTTTATCAGGGTAAGTAAAGGAGTGATGTAATTTACCTTAACCACTAGCATGGCTCAGTGGAGTTTGCGTCAGCTGGTACACATTTCTCTTGCAGGCATCTGGATAGTTAGTGCACTCATTTGTCAGTTGTGCCTTCATGTTTTGAGAAACACATCAGAGATGGGTCTGCTCATATCTAAGACATAACTGTCCTCCCAGTGGAAGGTAATCGGCATTTCCTTGGAGTTGAATTGGCTCCAAGGTGATAGGCCTGGCAACGGAATATTGAAATTGAGTTAATACTCTGGTGCTTGGTGGTTCTGGTTCCTGAGCTGAGACTGGTGGGTTCGCAGTACTCCCAAGGCACTGCTGATACCAGACCAGCCTGTCTGACTCCTCACTAGGGCTTGGAGGGGCAGACCAGTCACGGGAGCAACAACTTGGATTTATATAGTGCCCTCCACGCCAGATGGCGTCTCAGAGCACTTTACAGTAACGGATCCCGGGGCCGAGCTAGGCGGAGGGGAAGGAAGATGACAAAAGGCGCGGCCTAAAAGAAAGGTCTTCAGCCGAGACCTGAAAATAGGAAGAGAGGGGGAGAGGCGAAGGGATTGACGAAGGGAGTTCCTCGGGGCGTAGTGGCTGAAGGCACGGCCGCCGATGGTAGAGCGGAGGACTCGGGGGACAAGGAGGACACTGTTGTGAGGAGAGAGGAGGTCAGAGAGGTAGGGGGGGTGCAGAGGACTGGAGGGATTTGAAGACAAGAGTGAGGATCTGAGCAGAGATTCTTCCCATTCAACCATTAACCCTGCAAGCCAAATCCCCTAAAGGATAGGGTGGTATTAGCTGGACAAGCAGCAGGAACCTGCCAGATAGTGCTTTCAATGGCAAGCCACAAGGTTTTAGCTGATTAAACTCCAGCAGTATCCCAACGCACACTCCGTAGTCCCCAAACCTTGGCTCTTGCCAACCTGAGCCTAATACTGGAATAAGATAAAGTAGGTTGTGTCCTTCTGGGGAGAGAGTGCACATTCCATTCCAAACATGGAAATTTCAATGTGAAGGAGGCATGCGAGGAACTCTCGATCTAACGGAAATCCATCACCACTTAAGCATGATGATGGAATGCCCCATGTGTCAATCACCCGGCTGACCAAAAGAATGAGATAACCAGACCTATTCTTTTGGCTTTTAACTGACTGAGCAATTTACCTGCAAACCAATCATTTGACTAAACTAACTTTAACATATATCCTATCCTTTGAGTTACATTAAGACTTCTGTCTATTTTCAAGCCATCAGTGTTCTGTCCAATGTCTAATGTGATCATTTTTAATGATTTCTCAAATCACTTAATTTTTTTTACACTTAAGACAATGTATTCATGCTTTTTTCCACTTGAATGTGTCACCATGTATATATTCATTTTATCAATTGTAAAGCCACATAACAAGGTTTGTGGATTTTACCCTGGGCTAAGGAGCTGTAACTGTATTGAAGAGTCCATGTAACAGTCAGAGGGAATCTCATTAACTATTTTTTTATTGGATTATTTCTTTTTGTCTCTCAAAAAGAAAGCAAAATTGGAAATTTCCAATGACCTGTAGTTATTTCTCAATACTGACAACTCAATTTCTTGACACTAAATGTATTAAAGATCACAGCATATCTTCTGCCAACTCACATTGTTCTCTT